CTAATAGGGCATTATGTAAAAATGTGGATGTGTAACCGACGTGATTCTGCAATCTGTATTTGGGGTAAAAATGGGAGTTCATAACCCACTTGAATCTAATGTATGAAATATGATATGTCAAGAGCTTCGTAATGTTTTGAACAACCAATAAAAAAAAGAAAAAAAAATAAAGTGCATGAAGCAATAATAGTTTAATATACAAGTACATGCATGGAATTTTGTCCCTATTTGAAGCAAGTTAAGCAATTCGTATTTTTTAATTTGTTAACTTGCATCCTTTAATAACATAAGCCTACTTAATAATTTAAAGACATAATGCAGTTATAAATAGAAAATGAAAACAGCGTGCTCTTGAGGAAGAACACTATAATTGGAATTTTTAATAAACTGGAGAAAGGTTAGGTCCTTTCTACCATCTCAGAATCACATAGGAACTGTGTGCGGAACAGTAACACTACTTCATTCACATTCAATCCTAAGAGGTTTGCTCAGTTCTATGTAGACATAGTGGTGAGGAATGTCAGAGAATGTGAACACTGACATGGTTGTTATAGTTTTCTTGAGACCAAAATGGGTGTACCTATTTTTATTTTTTACTGAAGACAATAACACAGCTTTATCAAATGGAGATATATATTAAACACCAGAAAAAAAAGGTTGCTAACTTCATCCAGCTTTTTGTTTGCATGATGCTCTGTAGTATCTAAGAATGCCAGCATGTGGATCAGCTCAGAAGTTTAAAAATGACAGGATGCCCAATCAGAAGTAAATATTTTCATATAATCATGTAATGCAGGTTTAGATACTAAAGAGGTTAAATAAATTATTACAGAAATGCACTCAATATTGTACATTTTGAAAATCTGCATCAAGCATCTCTACAATATATTTATTTTTCATTAACCAGAACATGGTATAATTAGTTCAGTGCCCTTATCCAGATGTCAGCCTGTCTGACAGAGATTCAGGGTCTATCTGAGGCATAGTAAATTATGCTATTGCAAAGCTTTCACACTTTGATGACAGTGCTGGTATGATAGATGTTGGAAGATAACATTAAAAATGAACCATCTTCAGAATGTGTAACTGGCTAGTTCTATGCTTCCATTCCAACACATAAGTCTTCAGGAAGTAAAATCAGGCTGTTATTGTGCATGTAGCTCCGTACTGAGGAGCTGTCTGTTAATCTGGCAAATCTTTCTTTTCTAATAACCCCTCACCTGTGACAGTTTGCACCATTACATCTAGATAGTTATAAGACTTTACAAACCAATGGGCAGCTTCTCCCTAACACTCTCCATCTGGATAATTTTACACTCGAGTGCACAAAACATGGTTAACCTCACTCTACAAAGAAAATGCTTCGTCCCATTTTTCTTCATTTTATAAGAAAGAATAAAATCATATGAACTGAGATGATATGGTAGAATGGAAGAAGATTTCTTGGAAAATCAATTAGAAAATCAAAATAATTGCTTTTTCATGGAGCTTCCTGGAATAATTATCTGTGTCTGAAAAATAACATACCAGTGATGCCATTGGATTCCTGCTGCAGGTCACAGTACCAGAGTCGGTTCACTGGATCACATCCCTCCCTTATTGATAACAAGACATAGCGCCCGTCATCAGATAACTACAAAGGAGACAAAAACAGTGCAGAGGCCTGATCAGAACAGACTTTTTGTGAGAAGATTGTTAAGTGTTAAATAAAAAACTAAGGTTAACTTCAAATGCAGTGTCTTTACCCCAAACTTAGGATCTGATTTAAAAAAAAAAAAAAAATCTTAAGAAAAAAACAATACATCAATTTCAATTTATTTCACTCTTAAAGAAAACATACCGAGTTACTTAAGTAAAAAAATATCAATAGGTGCAACTGAATGTTATGAATCCCATGTGATTTTTTAATTTCAATCCTTTATCTATTCTTTAACTGAAAATATGTGCAATCTGTCTTTGGAACATTGGCATTCTTGACTTTTAAGTTTGTTTATAGGTTACATATTTTAAAAGTCATTGTCCTAAATGAGTAAGAATGAGAGAAGTGGGTGTAGATACAAGAAGTCCACTGGGCACATGAGCAAGTTTCCACTGAATAACTTGTTATGCACATCTTTAGTCACCTYTACCACAAGATCTGAGACGAAAGGTCTGTGCTTCTGAGGATTTCCCTTTTGAGTATGAAATCAGCAGAATCTTGGGTAGTGAAAAAATCTTGATTAAAAATCCATTGCAACAAACAATATGTTATTGAGTTGTCACAGTGTACAAAAGTGGTATCAAACTATAAAAAAAATCCTTTTGCAACTAATTTTTTTTCATTAAACTTTTACAGTTAGTCCATGTTGGTATATGTAATTCTAATTCATTCTTTCTAACCCCTGCACACTATTAAACCCTGATTCCTCTTCCAGCCATAATATATTTAGATTGTTTCCATTTTTGTACTATTACAAACAATTCTTCAGAAAAAATTTTAAGCTTTAATCTGTGACCTAAAGTGCATCCCAGGACATAGAAACAGAAGTAACATTGCTCAGAGTAGGATATACACATATTCAAATATTATTAGATGTTGCCAAATTATTCTCCAAAGTGGTTGTACCAATTTATGGTGTTACATGGCAGTAGTTTAAGACTATACACTACTATATACTATACTATACAGACTATATATACTATGTATAAGACTATTCCACACCCTTATTATGATGTTATTTTGTTAGACATTATTCAAGATGTTTCTGTGATGATGTTTTTAAGATGAGATTACATTTAAATGAGTGAACTTGGAGTAAAGCACCTTTTACTCCAAAGTGTGGGTGGGCCTCATTCAATCAAGTGAAGGACTTACAAGAACTAATCCTTCCCTGAGAAAGAGGGGAGGAAAATCAGCCAGTAGACTGCTTTTAGACTCAATTGAAACCCTTCCCTAAGTCTCCATCCTGTAGATTTAGGACTTGTCATGCTTCCAATCACAGAAATGGATTCCTTAAAATCCTGTCTACACACACACTCGCATACATACCCTGTTGGTTCTTCTTCTCTGGAGAACCTTAATACAATACCAAGTGTTATTCATCTGTCATTTCTTTCACTCAATAGATATTTATTAGGCATCTATTATGTGCAAGACATGCTTCTAGATATTAAAGATACAACAGGGAACAACTCTGAAAAAAATGCTACATCTAATAAAGGAGAAAAACATATAAATATGGAAATAGCAATGTGTTACTCAGCTTTTTGTTGCTGTAACAAGTAACTAGAAGGAAAGGTTTATGTCAGCTCTTGGCTTCAGAGGTTTCTGTCTACAGTTAGCTGGCTTCAAAGCAGAAACATCATGGCAGAAGGGTATGGTGGAGGAAAGTCACTCAGCTCACAGCACAAGGAAGCTAAGAGAGGGTGTGGGAAAACGTCGTGGGCAAGGTATAGTCCCTATGGACATACCCGCTAGTGACCTACTTCCTCTAGCYATGTCCCACCTACTTACAGCTTCCCCTACCACCCCACCCCAACATCCATTCCAATTGCTAATCCATCAAATGGATTAATGTATTGATGAATTTAGACCTCTCATGTTCCAACCATTTCCTAAAAGCTACACCTCTGGAGACCAGGCCATTAACAAATGAGCTTTTGGGTGACATTCCTCCAGATCCAACCCATACTATGCAGTGATAAATACCATGGAGAACACTAACAGGTTTTAGTAAGGAGGATAAGATGTGTGGGGAAGGACTGCAGCGTTAAATACAGCAGTCACGGCACACCCATTAAGAAGGTATCTTTCCACTGTTTTCTGACATGTACTGTTTCAGATGAGAAATCATGTCATTTCTTATTTTTGTTTCCTGTATGTAATGTGTGTTTTCTATTCTCACTGCTTTTAACATTTTCTCGTTATCTTTGGTTTTCTGCAAATTGATTATAATGAACTTTGCTTAACAGCCTGTTTGTGATTTGTTGGGCTCCTTAGATCTGTGGGTTTGAACAGTTCATCAAATTTGTAACAGTTTTGGCCATGTATTTCTGATGCACATTCTTTTGTCCCCTCATCCTTACCTGGTATTGTCCTACAGGTCAATGAGCTGGTATCTTATTTGTTTTAGTTTTTCTCTTTGTGATTTTAGTTTCAAGTGTCCTGTTTTCAAATTCACTGATGTTTTCTTTTATAGTATCTAACTACTGTTGAACTTATGCAGAAATTCTTTCATTTTAGAATTTATTATCTCTAGACAAATGCGACTCATTTGTTTTTTCTACTTCTTTGCTTTATATTAAAATTTTCTAAAAATTTATAGCTCTCAGGTTGTGTTCTTAGCTTGAGTTATGAAATATCATTCAATTAAAATTATTTTTATAATAACTTTTTAAAAGTCCCTGTATGTTAATTCTGTCATTTTTGGATCTATTGCTACTAACTAATTTTTCTCATGGTTATTAGTCATATTTTTCTACTTCCTTATATATATAGTAACTTAAAATTGGATTCTGGACATTTTGAATGTTGTCTGAATATTTTTCGTTCTAATATGACTTTAAAACATTTGAGACAATTAGTTTCTTAATACATCAGCTGGATCCATTCAAGGTTTGCTTTCAAGCTTTGCCGAGTAAGGTGTATAAACCTACTGCTAAGATATGGCCTCCCTAGGGTCTCTGTTGAAAATGCTGTGTGTTCACAGATCTTTCCACTCTGATCAGAATGTGAACATCTCCCAGCCTTGTCAAACCTTTGGTAGTTGTCAGTTTATAGCTCTCAAGTTGTGTTCTTAGCTTGAGTTATGGAATTTCATTCAACGCATGTATCACTTCATAGCCAAACACAAAAAGGGATTTAAAGGCCAATTTTGAGACTCTTAATGGATAGTTCCGGCCTTTGGCACTCTGCCCTGAAAATTCCAGTGGCTTCAGTCTATTTGGATCCTAATTCAGTGAGACTGTAATCTCAGAGTTCCTCATCCTTGTGCTAGGGTCCAAAAAATACTCTCAGGCAGAAAGCTGGGGCAATTACAGGACTCTCCTCTCATGGGTCAGATCTGGGTGACAAATGACCAATATCTGAAAACAGTTGCTTGTCTACCTCATACAGTTTTCTAACTATAAATGGCAGGAGGGCTAGTCAGTACCAGTTACCCCATGGTGGTTGTCACTGTGAACATTTTGAATGTTGTCTGAATAATTCATTTCATAAAAATCTACTATTTATGTCAATAAAACATTAACAAAAACAAAATCCTAGGAACTAACCAGACTGCCTCTTGCAATTTAATTTTAAAATATAATCTAAGAATCTGTATTTTTAATTCATTAACTATTTTGCTGATATGACTTCCATACTCTTAATTTTGAGTATTCCACTCAACATGCTTTTCTCCTTTTTTCTTTATTTTATCAGTTTGACTTTCTCTCATTTTATTTTTGGTGCTGGGGGTTGAACTCAGTTGTATTTCTAAGCACACACTCGACCACTGAGCTACCCCTTTCTCTGTATCAGTATAAATTTCTTTATGAATGTTTTTCCTCTTTGATTGGTTTATAAGTTATACATTCTGTTTTTCCTTAAGCTTTAATTTTATATGCTTTAACTTTAGCTTAAAGAAAAACAGAATGTATAAGTGTTAGCTTTATAAATAGCTAATAAGCTATGTTCAGAATTTCAATCCCACCTTTTTAGGCCATCCAGTATTAAGAATATCATCAGCAATCTCTCAATTATAATTTTATTAAACAAAATCGAAAGCAGCCTCATTAACAATACTTCAAGCTTTTGTTCTCTTGTCCTTTAAATAAAGACAGAATCTGTAGAGCTTAGTGCTTAAAGTCATGCTACATCAATTGTAAATGATGGCTAATTCAGCTGTATCGATTCAGTCAAGAAAAAGACAGAACAGTAAAAATCACTGCAAGAACCACTGTCTCCAGCACATCTAATGAGCTCTTCTCAGCATTTCTGGCTGGACTCAATAGTTGTAGCAGTTTATATTTAATCTAAGGCAGGAAGTTCCAAAGCACACTGCTGTTAGAATGCTAACTAACTCAGTCTTCTTCCCTATGATTCTCTTCATTACAATTCAGAGATATTCTATAGGCACTAAAATTTGCTAAACTGGAAACACCTTACAGTGCTCAAGGTCTCATATCACAAAATCATTTCCAAGTCATTTGCTCCAAAATATACAGATTAGAAATATACTTTTTTCCCACTAAAATTTAATCAATTGTAACACTTTCCTAATGACAGCTTCACAAGACTATTTCAAGGTCATTTGAAAGATGATTTTGGGGAATATTTGGGAGAAGGTAAAAATCTTGTTGAGGAAGACTTTTGAATATGAACAGAATAAAATGATTTTCCTGAATGATAAAGGAAAAACAAAACAGCAGGAAAATCAAGGGCCCATTGGGTCTTTAAAAATAGCACAAATTCCACTTTGCAAAATGTTATTTTTTCAAAGCAATACGACAGCAACTAGAATAACTGTTTTCTGGAAGCTATTAATCTGATTTACAAACACTGACGTTTTGCAATTAACATTAACCTGACCAATTACAAAATATATAATTCCTATATTAATGCCTTTCACACTTTTCTTCTACTTTATGTTTGTATCATTAAGTCAATTTTAA